CCCCAAAACCCCAAAACCCCAAAACCCCAAAACCCCTTTGTGTATTAGCTAAATTGAAATATTATCATTAAGCTGATTGAAACTTTCCCCTTTTGTGTTCTTTTCCAGATCAGAGATAAAGTATTAAACTCATAAAGTGATGGATCAGCAGATTTATAGGGAAAGGGCAAAGCCCTCAGATTTAGAAAAAGACTCTCTGTTCACACGTTAATGACAAGTAACAATTTATAGATTTAGAAAATCATTTGGAGTTTCCATGTTGTGTATTTAAAGAAAAGAACTCTAGGTGATTTCAAATTTTTAGAACAAAAATAAGATTTTTAAAACAACTTAGTCAGAGAGTTCTGCTTCTAAGTTAGCATTTGCAACTCTTAGATTCCATGGACTTATCTCTTGAAGTTAGCAATTCTGCTCTTTTTCTCAATACTATTGAGGAATTATAGGCCTCTCTTTGTAACCCAAAGCTGGTATAATGCTGAGTAGAACTATTGGCAGACTTATGCTCCAACTTCTTCAGCTTGGTGATTATTTTATTTAACAAAATCTGAAACCCTTCCTGAATGTTCTTGTTCATCAATACGCTGGTTTCAATATAAGGGAATGAGTTTTGACGAGCAAATTCTTGAGCTTCTTTAGTGCTGACTTCTCTTTCTTCTTCAAGGTCTACCTTGTTCCCAATCAATAAGATCTCTACTGAGTCCTCCCCTGAATCTTTTAAATAAGAATACCATTCTTTACATCCCTCAAAGGATTTATTTGCTCGTAATATCAAAGACGATTAAGGCTCCTGCAGCTCTTTTAAAGTACTGATTAGACATATTAGCGTATTTATCTTGCCCAGCAGTATCCCAAAGGTGAACTTGTACAAGGTCAGACTCTCATTGGTAAACTTTGCTGATAAATTCATAACCTAATGTGGGTTCTACTGAGATAAAGTCCTTCTCTGGGTTTCTAAAATTATTAATATTTTAGTTTTACTCTACTAAATGAGTGATACTAGTCTTTCCTACACCAGAATTCCCTAACATAATGAACTTTATCTTGTAGGTCATCTGTGATTCTGAGTAATCCATTTCTATAATTTTTTATACTATTGGGGTTTTGGGGTTTTGGGGTTTTGGGGTTTTGGGG